AAAGTCAATAATTAAATATATAATTAAGCATTTAAAAACCAATCTTCACGTAGAACTTGGATACTTCATACAGTATCTGCAGCTTATGTACTGCAGGTTCTCTTCAAGTCATATGATGCTAAGACAGAGAGGAAATGCCAGCGGCTGAACTGAAGCCCTCAGCTTGCTCCTCTGCACCTGTATCTTGTACGTGGCCTGTGCTCAGTGGAACCTCTGTGCCCCCTGCAGGTCCTGAGTGGCCCTGCAGGGAGATTCGTGTGTGGGGTCTCCCTGGCATCCTGTGTCTCTTGCACAGTAAACCTCTGCCGTGTCCTTGGCACTGAGGCTATCCATGTGCAGGTACAGAATGTTGGCGTTGTCACTGGTGACGGTGAATTAGCCTTTCAATGACTCTACATAGTTTGTGCTCCCGCCAGTCTTACTGTGTAGGAGAGCAACTCCATCCCCTTCCCTGGGGCCTGGTGGACTCAGTCCATGTTGTAGTTACTGAAGGTGAATTCTGGGGCTGCACAGGGAGGCTCAGAGACCCCTCAGGCTGAACCAGCTGACATCAGACTCCACCAGCTGCACCTCACAATGGACACCTGCAAAGACATCCTACTCGAAATTGTCGCACCAGTTGTTACGGTTTTTGTGTACATGTCCCCCCAAAGCCTCAGGCAGTCATAAAGTTTTTTTGGACTGAATCTAGAGTGTGTGATTGGTGGTGCAATGCTGGGACTAAGGGTGCTGGGATTAAGTCTGGGGGTGACCTGGAAAACATGGGTTTAACACCAGCCTACAAAAGCCCTTGGCTCTGAACACAGGTCAGGCTCTGAACACACATCATGGACTTGACACTTTACTTCCAAAGATTTATAAAGTTCAGGGCAATCAGGACTGCCCTTGACACATAGAAGGGACTGGGGACGCAGGAACCATATCTTTTCCTATGCAAACCCTACACAGGAAAACACAGACTCCACATAACCTGATGAAGTCACCAGCGAGTATGCAAGACACAGGGCTGCAGGAGAACTGCTGAACAAACATGCTTCTGATGGAGGTTGAAGTGGAAGTAGGAACAAGACAGGATACTGTGGCCCCCACTGCCAGTCAAGCCCCATGCCACAGACCACAAGGGACAAATGTCCAAGCAATACAGAGGACAGACTTCACAGATTTCAGCCAGAGGCCCTGCATTCTGCAGGTGCAATCCAGTCCACCTGTACCCATCTCAGAGATCCCTGCCCCATACTTACCTTTCCAGCTTGTAGAGGGTTTCCGTGTCTACACAATACTGCAGCCTGAGGAGGTCACCCAGCAAGGCAGCCTCAGACTCTGCGGCCTGTGCTCAGCAGATGACACTTGTTCAGAAAGACGGCAGCGAACTTAAAGACTGATGTGGCTTGTCCTGCTCTCCCTCTCCTGCTCTCAAATGCACAGCTCTTCCAGCCTGCTTGCATCTCTCAAAAGTCGGTGATCAAAGACCCACCCTCTGAGAAGGGACAGGAGAAGCGACCCCACAGCTGGTTCTGATGAGCACAGTGACAGATCCAATGCTGAGTTACACCTGGGCTGCTGAAATGGCCGGCCTGGGGATTCCTGCATTTAAACTGAGCTTGGTCCTGTCTTGCAGGGCAGGCGCCTGCTTTCTAACTGTATTTGGTGGCTGTTTCCTGTTTCTTCCTCCTGTGAAATGAGCCACAACTGTACTCAGGTGATTCCACACTATGTGCCGTGCAAACAACTCCTGACTTCGGAGGAAGGCTGCCGAGAGCAGATCAGGCTCCCTCCCAGCGTGGGACAAGGCAATGGTTTCACTGCCTTACCAGGCAACCAGGCCGACTTTACCTTTTCAGGACTGGGAACTGAATCTAGAGAATTTATACTGTGCTATTTCCCCAGCTCGATTTTTTGTTGTTGTTGTTTTTTTATTTTGAGACATGGTTTCACTATGTTGCTAAATTGCCCAGGAGGGCTCAAAATGTAAACTTGTGAAATCCTCTTGCACCCGAGATCTCATGAATGCAGCGCCTTGCCTGGCTCTGACTCATTTCAGTAAATATAAATAATGAAAACAAGGTAATATGATGATTCACTACAAACATAAAGTGCTATTATTTGGCAGTAATATTCGACATAAGAATCAAGAATGAAAAAGACACACCAACTGTTTCACCCAAGGTCACTGGAAAACCCCAGACAGTTAAACACCTTTTCAGTGAAGAGGACCTGATTGACACAATGCAGCCCCACAGAGTATCAGACCCTGGTGATGAGGCAGGACAACTTAAGTATTAACTCTGGAGCTGATCAGAGCCTGCTGTTCCCTTTTCCCAGTGTAAAAATGCACCCTCCTCCCTAATACTCACTCGAGGAACATTCTTGCCTGGAGTCACTTTTAGATTCACAAAAGCATCAGATCCATGACAGCTTTCTCTCAGAAAGTATGTAAATGAGTCTATCTCAGAGAGTGAAACTCAGACTCTACGTATACATATTATACATTGACTCCAGCAAGTCAATGCATGCCAAAACCAAAACACTGTACAAAGTCCCACAGAGAGTAGGGTCAAAATCTCAGAAAGAAGCCAGTGCTTTTGCATTTGAGTCTCTAGCTCTGCCCCACAAACTGCAGCTTTTCAGTGTTAGTGCTCTTTCTGTTGGGTTCTCTCCAGCTGGAGATCACCTACAAGGCAGGCTTCCTGGACAGAAAGGAAGCATCAAGAGCAAACAGATCTACATCAGAACACTGACGAGTTAAGGCAAGAATGGTGAATCCAAATCTTGTCCAAACCAATATTAGCATGGATCTTTCTTATCAATGAACTAAGAGAAACTAGCACTGAACTATGTTGTTTATATAACTCTTACCTACCGTGTGTGTGTGTGTGTGTGTGTGTATTTTTCCTTTTCCCTTCTTTCATTTCTCCTTTCCCCATCAGTTTTCTTCTGAACAGTATCTTCCCTATTCACGACATCTACTGTACATTCTGGATCTTGTTCCATGTCTCACACTACTGAGACAATATGTTTACACACGTGGGTCTGATTTATAAACAGATAAATGATGGATGAACCTGGCACTAGACTTAGTCATGCTGTGGAGAACGGCACATGTTGGGAACTCTGTCAACTTTCATTTCTGCGATTTTAAATTTAAAACCATTTGACTCTCATGAAATAGCAGAATTTGAACATATGGATAAAGAGGGACTAGGATTGTGTAGTTGATGCCACACCCCAAGATTGGACAGACGGGTCAATGGTTGTGCACTACAACCCATATATAGCCCTGCATGAAATGTTTTGCTAGGTAAATCCAGTGCTTCAGTTCTCATGCACTGAATTTGTATGATTATAAATACCACATAAACATCACACAGACGTCACCGCACACAGGTAACTCTATTTCTGGAGTCACTGTGTCATCATTCCCATCACTCAGGACTGTTTGGGGTAAGTCTATTCCATGGATTTTCTTTAGAACCTTAGGAATGTGGTGAAACCCTGAGACACTTCAGGATGAACTGAAATTCATGATGCTTCTTTTTAGATGATGGACATAATATTGGATGTATTGTTTAATTTTTGCTTTACAAGAGAAAAATATATGATGTGTAATAGCAAGTAGGGGAACACGTTTCAAAAATTGAGAGCAAGAAATGGATGGAAATGCTGAAGAGGAAATGGGAAGGTAACTACGAAGAATTCAGATGCATAACGAACGTAAACCAACTTGCACAGATGAACATTTATAGTATATACTGCAACTATGTATCGATAAATATTTTAAATCTTTTTAAACAGTTTTTGCTTTTGTGACTGTTTATCTTGTCATCAGTGTCTTGATGGAGACATGCCATGAAACCTGGTCAAGCACACTTCTGGATGTGTGTGTGTGGATCCTTCTAGAGAGACTGCTATGTAAGTCACTGACCTGAGTGGGAATCAACTGTCATGATAAAAATTGGTGTCATCCAGGAGGACTGGCATGGGTGGATCAAAAGAGTAGAAAAAAGAAGCTTCCATAGTCTTGAATTTACTTTAAAAAGGTGTAATTTTTAAATTTTATTTTTTTTTCTTTTTGATGCGAGGTTTAGCTATGTAGTTCAGGCTGGCCTTGAACTCAACTCTGTAGCCCAGGATTGCCTCAAACTTTCAGCGATCCTCCTGCCTCAGCCTCCCGATGCTGGGATTACAGGAGTGCGCCAGCTCACCTGGACAAAGGTGTGATTTTTTAATAGTAAATCTACAGATATGTAGGTAAGATATTTACAGGTGACTTACTGAAAACAGAATGAATATACTTTAGGGTATCTCCTATAGGATTGTTTTCTGGAAATTTTATGAAGAAATACTGGCATCATAATTTTTATATTACTTCTAAATGTCTCCTCTACATGAGTACTTTTTAAAGGATTTTCAAAATAGTCTTACATATGTAGGCTTTTCTCTTCAGTGTGACTGCTTTCACATATATGACAATACCAATGTACACCGAATGCTTCCCCACATTGCTTACATAGACTTTGGCCCCAGTGTGACTTTGTTCTGGGGGTTAGGGACTGCCTCAGCTGAAATCTTCCCATTTCTTACATCAAGGAGTTACTCCCCAGTGTGATCTCGTTTGTAATATGCAGACCTCTTTTCCCACACTGCCTACAAAAATAGGGCTTCTCCCCAGTGTGCATAATTTCACACACTTAATGGCATGTTAGTGTGCTGAAAGCTTTCCCACACTGCTTATATACATAGAGTTTCTCCCCAGCGTGGAATCCTCTAGGTCTATGAAATGAGGACTTATCAGCAAATCCTTTCCCACGTTTCTTATATTGGCAGGGCTTCTCTCCAGTGTGAATTCTCTCACATCCTCACAAGTTACTCTTTAGGCTGAAAGATCTCCCCTATTGCTTACATACACAGTTTTTCTCCCCAGGGTGAGTTCTGTCATGTATTTTATACCACCTGTGTGCACTGAATGCTTTCCCACTTTGCTTGAACAAATAGTTTCTCAATTTTTCTTTCATGTATTTAATGGTAACAGTACACAGTGACTGCTTCCCCTCACTGCTTTCGTACATAGGCCTTCTTCCCACTGTGAACCCTTTCATGTAGTTGACAATTAATCTTTCGGCTGAAAGATTTCCCACATTGCTTACACACATAGGGTTTCTCTCCAGTGTGAGTTCTTTCATGTGACTGAAAGTGACTGTTCTGGCTGAAGGATTTCCCACACTGCTCACACACATATGGCTTCTCACCCATATGGTATCTTCTATGTCTATAAAAGGAAGAGTGATGAGCAAATCCTTTTCCACATAGCTGACATTCATAGGGCTTCTCCCCAGTGTGGGATCTTCTATGTATACGAAGTGAAGACTTATCAGCAAATCCTTTTCCACACTGCTGACATTCATAGGGTTTCTCCCCAGTATGGATTCTCTTATGCGCTCGAAAGTTACACTTCTGGCTGAAAGACTTCCCACATTGCTTACATACATAGGGCTTCTCCCCAGTGTGAGTTCTATCGTGTATTTTATAATACCTCTGTGTACTGAACGCTTTCCCACACTGCTTGCACACATATGGTTTCTCCCCAGTGTGACTTCTTTCATGGATTTGACAGTCACGGTATGTAGTGAATGCTTTCCCACACTGCTTACATACATAGGGCTTCTTCCCACTATGAATCCTTTCATGTCTTTGACAATTATTTTTTTCACTGAAAACTTTCCCACACTGCTTGCATACATAGGGTTTCTCCCCAGTGTGAGTTCTTTCATGACTTTGACATTGACTGTGTGTGCTGAAAGATTTCCCACATTGCTTACATACATAGGGTTTCTCCCCAGTGTGAGTTCTTTCGTGACGATCACAGTGACTTTTTTGGCCGAATGCTTTTCCACACTGTTTACATACAAAAGGTTTCTCCCCAGTGTGGGATCTTCTATGTCTATGATATGAGGATGTATTAGCAAATCCCTTCCCACACTGTGTACATACATAGGGTTTCTCCCCAGTGTGACTTCTTTCATGTACTTGAAAGTGACATTTTTGGATGAAATATTTCCCACATTGTTCACATACATAGGGTTTCTTCCCACTGTGAATTATTTTCTGTTTGTGAAAGGAATTACTATGAGCTAATGTTTTTACACATTCTTTAGATACACAGGGCTTCTCTCCAGCATGTCTTCTTTCATGAACTTGAATTTGGTATGCAGAAATAAACATTTTCTCACATTGTTCATATACATATGGACTCCCCACACTGTGATTTCTTTCACGGATTTGAACACCACTGGGTATGCTGGAGGCTTTCACACTTTCCTTACCTACAAAGTTTTTCTCCCCAGGGTGAGTTCGTTCACTGAGATCAGTGTAGGCTTTCCCATATTGCTCATATTGATAGGGTTTCTGTCCGGTCTTTCTCCTTTCATGCTTCTGAAAGGACTGTAAATCACTGTGGGGTTTTCCATGTTCCCTACATTTATACAGCTTTTCTTCAAATCTCAAATAACTGTCTGTTTCATTTCTATAAAGGAAAAAGAATAAAAATATCAGTCACATTTTTCACATATATATATATAAATATATATATATATCAGTCACAATGAAAAAGGTCTTCATATTAATAATTTACCAGGACAAGCTCTGGTTTGATGCCTGCCAAGCTATTTTGAGGATGAACTGACTTAGTAACCTGGAGAAAGCCTCCAAAACACCCCATTCTCAAAAGGATGGTTTTCATTTGGGACTTTAAAATTGGTATATATTTGCAATACACAATATCAAGTTTCATTTTAGGGAATGGGCAGAACGTATATCACACATTGATCATTTTTGATATCTTTTCCCCCATATCTCTCTCCTTCTCTAATTACCCTGATCAACTTTAACATGTCCAAAAAGTTAAAATTTTCTCTTTTCTATCACTTTTCCTTTATTTTACTCCCTAAATATATTTTTAGCTTCTCATTTCAGAGAAAACATATGACATTTCACTTTCTGTGTCTTATTTCATGGAACATCATGGGATGGAGTCTCATGTATTTTTGTTCTTTGACAACTGATATCATTGTTCTTTATGGCCAAATATATAGTATATTTTTTCAGTGGGGAGAACTAAACAGGTCTTATCACTGAATTAATTTCCAGCTTTACTATTTCTTATTTTCAGAGACATTCTTATTGACCTCCTTTTCTTTATCCCAATATCCAGTGCTGGGCATCTAGGCTCTTTCCCGAGCTTAGCTATTGTGAATGCCCATGCATGTCCTGCATTGAACATGGTAATGCAAAAATCACTAAAATTTGCTGATTTTAACTCATTTCAGAAAATACCCAGAGAGATACACCTGGATTAAATGGAAACTTGTACTTTTACTTTCTGAAACATCTACATATTGATTAGCATCATGGTTCTATTTTACACTGCCACCAACAATATAGGAAGGTGCTTTCTAAGGAGTTTAAACACAAGCAGCTCAATTTTCTGGGGGATGTTTTACAAACACCTACAATGGCAACATTAGCATTCAATTGTGTTTTGAATACTGTTTTCATGTTAGCAGTTTTCTAGGTAATGCACGTCACATATTCACATGTACACATAGATATTTTAAAGATGAGTTCTTGTCAAAATTCAAAATTTATTCTTTTCATATATACCTATATACAATGCTTAAATGCAATTTCATACATTTCCATGATGGTGATTATGAAACAATTTATTTATACTGATAACAGCAGACAGTGTCACTTGTTACATAGTGTTATGGTTTGTATCTGGTTGTCCCTCCAAAGCCTCATGCAGTCATGGGGCAGGTGACTGATTCATGACAGTAAGTGCTACACCTACCTTGGGGTAGGTAGTTCCCATTACAATGTAAGGGAGGGAAGGAGGCTGCTTTGCCACCGCTCCTCCCTTTTGCTCTTGCTGTTTTTGCTACCTTCCTCCGCCATGAACGGTTACCCTACGCCACGTGCCACTCTGCCTTGGAGCCAGCTGAGCACGGACTAAAACCTCCATGAACTGTAAGTTAAATAAACCTTTCCTTCCTTAATTTTGGGCATCAGTTATTTTGTCTCAGCAACAAGAGAAAAGTAACCAAGACACATAGTATCAGTACTACCTCAGTTTCCTACACTGGAATATTTTTGTATTTGTCAGAATACACAAAATCAAGCTGTGTGCATCTCTGGAAATTTTTGTGAGATGAAATAAATTGGAGCCTGCCAGGCATAGTGGTGCACACCTGTAATCCCAGAACTTGGGAGTCTGAGGCAAGAGGATTTCTGCAATGTCAAAGCTAACCTGGACTACACAGTGAAATCAAGCCCAGCCTAAACTACATAGCAAGACCCTGTCTCAAAAATAAATAAATAAATATAAAATTTAAAAAGAAGTAAGTTTGAACATAGCCTCATTTCTTCAGTTTCATGGTTGTAACATGTCTGCACACTCAATGACTCCTGAGGAACATTCCTTTTTCCTGTGCACACACATTACCTTAGATTTCTTGAGCATTTTTTGCACTCTTCTGCAATTTGCTGGTTATTCCATGTTCTTCCTGAATTGTAGGAAATATAAAATGTCACTATATCATTAAATAAAAATTAATAGATTCCCCTTAGATTTCTAAGTATAATGCATACCAGGCCTTGTATAATGTGTACTCTTTATACCAGGTATAATGTAACCAAGCCTGAGATGTTCTTCAAAATGTTACAACAGTCTCTTTAATTAAACTTCATCACTGAGCAAAAAACCAATTCTCTATATTCATATAAATAAGAAAAAGATATCATCCTTACCGATAGCATTAACATTCATCAATGTTTCCCGCATTACATCTCTGTAGAGCTTCTTTTGAGATGGAGTCAGCAAAGCCCACTCCGCCATGGTAAAGTTCACAGCCACATCCTCAAAGGTCACTGCCTCCTAAATAATGACATGTTTCCTGAAGGTTCAGACCCACACCCTGAGACATCTGAAATCCTCTCACAGAAAGCTGAACTAAGATTTATTCCTTCAAATACTAATTACACATATTGGTCATCAAACACATGTATATGCAAATATTTTCATACAGTGATTCTGTTGCTAGAATGCAACACATTGTTAGAACAATAGCAGAATAGTAGCACAGGTTGTCCTACAGGGTCACCCACATTGTATTTGTGCCCTGCCTAGAAAGCAGGGCTCATAGATGGAGTCCATAATTTACCATCCACAAAACACAGGCAGATAAATATCTGATGAATGGTTCTGATAGACCACAGATTATATATCTCTTTTCAAATCTGCTTATTCATAGCATTGAGTCTGTCTTTCTTTGTCCTTAGGCAGCATTTTGAAACTTGTAGGGAAAAAACAATTGAATATTAAACAAGGCTAATGAATAATTATTAAAATGCTAATGGAAACAGTTTAATTGGAACAAATTTATGGACAATGAAAATAGGGGAAGTGTGGCATATTTATTATCTATTATTATTAATCTATTATTATTTATCAGTGACACCATATGATGACTTTGCACTCAGGTATAAGAAATACTAGGACGGTATAAGGAAGGGTAATGAGGGTAGGGATATGAATAAAATATGATCAATGCATGAAAACCAAGTTATCACAAAGTAACTGGTCACTACATACAGAAGGAAAACTTCGGTCCAGTTTGGTGGTACATGGCAGTTATTTCAGCCCTTGGGTGGCTAGTGTAGGATTCCCATGAATTTGAAGATTGCCATGAGTTCAATGTCCAGGTTGGCTAAGTCGTAAATTCAAGGCAGTCAAGATTACAAAGTGAGACCAGCCTCAACCACCCCCAACAAAAAGGAAAAAACAATACTGTGCCACTTACAAATTGCACCTTTGATTTGTTAAAAATTATAGCTGTACAGTATAATAAAAGACCAACGGCATGCAATATCTTGTGAGCAAAGTGATAGCTTACATAATATACATGAAAAACATTCTAATTCCACCTTTCAGGTCAGTGTGTGATTACTAGACAGAATGGTAAATGGATCTCAAAAAAAGAAAAAAGTCTTCAATGGATCCACTTGTAAACAGAATATCAATTCATAATACAGCTGGTTTTACACATTTCTAAAAAAAAATCACAGAAAGTTTCATTTATGTTCAGGGAGAAATAGGTATGCACTTGGAAATCTGGATTATATACTCTTGTATTCTACATACATAGGTTATACATTGAAATGGAAAGATAAACTGGAATGCCTTAGGAATTCGTAGTGAAAGAACATTCAGATAAGAAAACTGTTTCTGCAGAAGAAAATTAAATAGCCACCAGACATAGAAGGAGAAGTTGAAATCTATGAAAATCATCGGAGATAAATACAAAAATATTTGCTGGGCACACAATATAAAGAGGTTGTGTTAAGATCAATGAACACAAATCTAAAGAGTGACTACAGCACGTCTGACTCAAGATGAACAGAAAACAAGATGCAAGTCTAACTTGAGAAAATCACCAAAGGAAACCGAAGTGTGGAAGAACAAGTAGACTTACGCAAGAATGGAGAACCAGCTGCTACACCTGACACTCACTTCCTTTCCTTAGGAGTTTACCAACATTCACAGACCAGTGATTTCTTTCCAATATGTACAGCATACTTTGTGTTATTATTCCTGGGACTAGATGTGAATCTCTTCCAATAAAACTGAAAACTCAGGAACTGCATGACCAATGGCATGGATGGGAAAGTACTTTGCCTTTGATTCACAGATCAGCACTTGTGCACAAGAGTGAGACAAAAAAAGCTCAGCAGCTACCTGCCACACCCATAGTGTGTCTGCCCGGGCTGGCCTGGGCTGAGCCCTGGACGTGTTCAGGAAGCCCGGTGAGTTGGGGCTCTGCATCCCTGACCAGCGGGCAAGGCAGGCAAAACCTCGGGTACCCTACGGGGCCTCAGAGGCACACTGCCACACCCACAGTGTGTTGTCCGGGGCTGGGTTGAACGTCAGACACCTTTAGGAACCCAGTGAGCCTCTCTGGTGCCTTCCCCAATAGAGTGTGAGGCACGTGGATCCCTGGACACCTTCTGGGGCCTTGGTGGTCACTGACAGAACAACTCACACCCCCACTGGGAGCTCAGCTGAAACCTGGACATAGCAGCCTCGGGGAGCTTCCCTTCACCCCTCCCCTTTTAGTGTGGGAAGCAGGCTCTTCTTGGGTAATATCTGAAGCCTCTGTGAACATGACCTTCATCCTCCCTACTCTTATGGAAGCCGGGCCAAACCCCAGACAGTCTCAGGAACACCTGCGAGCCTCCCCCACCTTTCCCACACATGCCTCGAAGCCAACTGAATGCAAAAAAGGTTGGGAGCATCTGGGACCCCACTTTGCCACCACTCACCAGCACAGGAGCTACACTGAGCACTGGGGATCTTCAGACTCTCACCCTGCCCCTCACACACAATCAGGACTGTGAGGCTGCACTCCAGAGAGCCTCTGGATCTTCAAAAATGACACAACAAAGGAAAAAAATGCAATCCCAGACCTTCACACCACCCAGAACGAGTTCAGGAGACATCAACACGGAAAAGCCGGGAGGTCATACACCTGAAATTTCTGAAATGATAGCAGCAGAAGTAAAGAAACAACTCTATCAGGCCATAGAAGACATCAGATCAGAAATAATGTCTCAGTTGACAAAAGAAATGACAACAATAATGAAAGAAATGCTCAGCATATCCAAAGATGACATAGACAAGAAAATGGAAAAGCATAGACAACTCTTGGAAACTTTCAGGGAACAATATAGAAAAGAACTAGAAGGTATGAAACAGATGCAAACAGATATCCAGGAAATTAAAAATTCCATTGAAAGCTTGCAAAACTGCCTGAAAAAAGCTGAAGATAGACTTTCAGACCTTGAACACAGCATTGCCATTAATGAACGTGAAAGGAGGGATCTCTTAAAAACAACAAGGAACCAGGAAATAACAATTAAATAAGTGCAAGACAAAGCAAAGAGAAACAATGCCAGATTAACAGGTATTAATGAAACAGCAACTGTCAACACAAATGATATAAAAAGACTATTTGCATAAATAATAGCAGAAAATTTCCCAGGCATAATAAAAGAATTGAACATCCAGAGAAGTGAACCATATAGAACTCCAGTTAATCATAACCAAAATAAATCTACACCCAGACATATAGTGATCAAGATCCCAGAAACTCAGCAAAAGCTCAGAATATGAAAAGCTGTTAGAGAAAAGAAATAGATCACCTATAAAAGAAAAGCCTGTCAGAATCATGGCAGACTTTTCAAGAAGAAGAGCTTGGAGTGAAGTATTTCAGGTACTAAAAGAAAACAACTTCCAACCCAGATTGATGTACACTGCAAAGCTATCTTTGAAATTTAATGGAGAAATAAAATATTTTCATGATAAAGAACAACTGAAGAAATTCATGAGTGCCAAACCAATTCTACAAAGAGTACTAAAAGACATTCTACAAAGAGATAAAACAGACTGCAATTTCAAAAACAACAACAGAAAGGAACCACCAAGCAAAGCAAGCAATTAAACAGAGAGAAAAAGGAGGCTCCAACAGCAGAAAAATAGCATGACAAAGATAAGCCAGTACATATCCGTTATAACCATCAATGTGAATTGTCTCAATGCACCAACCAAAAGAAGCAGACTAGCAGAGTGGATTAGGAAACAAAATCCAACTACATACTGTATACAAGAAACACATTTAACTCAAAAGGAAATTCATAGGCTGAAAATTAAAGGATGGAAAACAATACTCCATGCAACAGAAACCCAGAAAAAAGCAGGTGTAGCTATTCTGTTTGCAAACAACATGAACTTCAAACCAAGAACAATCAAAAGAGATAAAGAAGGTCACTACATACTTATGAGGGGGAAACTTCAAGAGGAAGACATAACAATCATAAACATCTATGCACCAAATACACGAGCACCCAACTATATACAACAAATTCTAACAGACAGGAAAAATGAAATAAGTAGCAACACAATCATAACAGGGGACTTTAACACACCATTGTCGCCAAGAGATAGATTAACTAGACAAAAAATTGGCAAAGAAATAGAACTTGACTAAACGTGTGAACATATGGACTTAGTAGACCTTTACAGAGTGTTCCACTCAACACCATCAGAATACACATTCCTCTCAGCTGCACATGGGACGTTCTCTAAAATAGACCATATACTAGTACATAGAATATGTTTAAGTAAATGCAAAGGAATTGAAATTATCCCATGTATACAATCAGATCATAGTGCAATGAAATTGGAAATCAATGACAAAAGAAAACACAAAAACTCCATAAACAGTTAGAAATAATATTCTCCTGAACAACCAATGGGTCACAGGTGAAATCAAAGTACAGATTAAACACTATTTACAATCAAACGAAAATGTACATCAACCTACAGGAACCTGTGGGATGCAATGAAAGCAGTCCTCAGAGGGAAATTTAGAGTGGTGAACTTCCACCTCAGGAAAACAGAACAGGCACAAACAAACAATCTGATGCTGTACCTCAAGTTCCTAGAAAAAGAAGAGCAAGTCAAACCCAGACCCCAAAGGCAGGAAATTATAAAGCTCAGAGCAGAAATTAATGCAATGGAGACTAAAAAAACAATACAAAGAAGTAATGAATCAAGGAGTTGGTTCTTTGAAAGAATAAATAAAATAGATAAATCCCTAGAAAACCTTATCAAAAAAAGGAAAGAAAAAACTGAAATAAATGCAATAAGGAATGAAAGGGGTGAAATCACTACAAATCCTGAAGAAATTCAGAAGATCACCAATATCTACTTTGAA